GAATGTGGAATAAGGGATTGCCTTGCTGATGTCCAAAGGCTGAAAGCAGAGAATATTAGAAATTTACTTGTGTTTTATTGACTATGCAAAGATACTCTACTATGTGGATCATAACAAACTGTGGATAACATTGAGATGAAATGAATTCTAGAACACGTAATTATATTCATAAGGAACCCGAACATAGACCAAGAGGCATCATTTGCTAGAATATGATAATGGTTTAAAGTCTGCAGAGGTGTTTGTGAGGGCTGTGTGCTTTCGTCATACTTCTTCAATCTGTATACTGTATGCTTCATACTGTATATATACCGTATATTGTATTCTTCCATCTGTATACTGTATACTTCATACTGTATACTGTATATATACTGCATATAGTATTCTTCAACCTGTGTACTATATTCTTCATACTGTATACTGTATATATACTTTATGCGGTGTACTGTATCTTCAATCCATATACTGTATACATACTGTGTACTGTATTATTCAATCTGTATACTGTATGCTGCATACTGTATTCTTCAATCAGTATACTGTATACTTCATACTGTATACTGTATATATATTGTATACTGTGTACTGTGTTTTCCATCTGTATACTGTATACTACATACTGTATACTGTATATATACTGTATACTGTGCACTGTATTCTTCAATCTGTATACTGTATGCTTCATAGTGTATACTGTATACATACTGTGTGCTGTGTACTGTATTCTTCAATCTGTATACTGTATACATACTGTATACTGTATTCTTTGATCTGTATACTGTATACTTCATACTGCATACTATGTATACTGTATTCGTCAATCTGTATACTGTATATATACTGTATGCTGTATTCTTCGATCTGTATACTGTATACTTCATACTGTATACTATGTATACTGTATTCTTCCATCTGTATACTGAACAAAAGACGTGAGAAACTGGACTATTTGAAGAATGCTACGTGGGATTAAAGGGAGGCCTGTCAACAACCTATGCAATGCGAACCATACAAATCTGCTTACTGGAAGTGAAGAGGATTTGAAACAATTACTGATAAAGATCATAGACTACCCTCTACAGTATGGATGACAGTTCAATATAGAGAAAGCAAAAATTCTTACATCATGGTAAACAACATTAAACATCATGGTAAAGAGAAACGATTGATGTTGTCAAAGATTTCATGTTATTTGGATCCTTAATCAATGCTTCTGAAAGCAGCTGTCAAGGGATAAAAATATGTATTGCATTGAGAAAATATGCTGCACAGGCCTTTTTTTTTAACATTTTATTAGGGGCTCATACAACTGTTATTGCAATCCATACACACATCAATTGTGTAAAGCGCATTTGTACATCATTCTCAAAACACTTTCTCTCCACTTAAACCCCCAACATCGGGTCCTCATTTTTGCTGTACAGGCCTTTTGAAAGCATTGTCATGCAGAGATGATATTTTGAGGACTAAGGTGTGCCAGATCTAAGCCATGGTATTTTTACTCTTCTGCGTGTGACAGTTGGACATTGGGTATGCAAGACTAAAGAAGTGATGCATTTGAATGATGGTGCCGGCAAAGAATATTGACAATACTTTGGATTGCCAGGAGAAACAAATCTGTCTGGAAGAAGTACCTGCAGAATGCTCCTTAGAAGCAAGGATGGTGATACTTGTTATCAGGAGTAACCAGTCTGGAAAAGGGCGTCATGTTTGGTGAAGTAAAGAGTCAGCAAATAAGAGGAAGACAGGCCACAAAATGAATTGACTCCGTGACTGCAGCAATAGCTCAACTGTAACAATAATTGTGAAGCTGTAGCATGACCAAGCAGCACTTTATTCTGTTGCACGTAGGCTTATCATGATTTGGAGTTGTCTTGGTAACACCTGACAACAATAACCACTACTATTAATAATAGTTAAATTTTCTTAAAGATTTTACATGTCATACATTTTCCTTATTTCATTTAATATTCATAACAGACCTAGAGGTAGGCCTGGTAATTAATTTTGAGGTACATTTTTCAAATGAGGGACCCTCTCAGAAATCAAGGAACTTACCAGGATCATATAACTAATAAGTGACACACCAATGTGGCTTTTTTTTCCTTCAGATGGCTCCAAACCTGTGAAATTATTCCCTAAATACTACAGCCTCCTGCATTTCATACATTTAAATTCCCCCTTTCAGTTGGGATGTGGTAATCTCTTAATGTGTGATTTTTCAATTCTTAATTTGTGGCATTTACCAAGGTGTTTGCCAAGCATGTACAAATTTACTTTTCAAAAAATCATTTGATAACAACTTCTCCATTATTAGCAAAGATGCCATTGTCTAGAAAATGATCATCAAAATAGACAAAGTCAGATCCAGAGAACTAAGAAGGGTAGAATCACCCTTACGTACTGTAAGAGTTGTAGACAGTCAAAGACATGATATTAAAGACATCCTGGATAATCACTGATGACGGCACTCATGTCTGATGGTGGTCAGACCTGATTCAGAGACACTAATGCAGTAACTGAGCAAAAAATAATGAGTTAGGATGGATAGAGAGGGTCATATTGGAGAAGTATTCTTAGGAGATGAAGTAAGACAGGAAAAATGCTGCTCTCGATGGACTGTTCAAACAGATAAAAGAATGATGCATGGAAAAGCTATCTCTACAAAACAAAATGCTGCGATTTCAAGAGAATAATACCCCAATATTTTAGCAGCTATTCTGGTAACCTGGAGCGTTTTCAGCAGCAGATCCCAGAGCCCACCAGGGTTCTTTTGGAAACCTGGCACCCTCCTCAAAGTTTCCTCGAGCGCTTGAATCCCCCAGTTGTTTACTGGATATCCAAAGCTGAAAAGGAGACTCAAACGTGCCCTTAGCTTTCCAGTCCAAACCACATAGTCTATTCCCTCTAACGAGGCTTCCTGGGAAAGATGCAAACCCAAACCAAACCCATTGCCATAGCATTGATGCTGACTCAGTTTCCGAGATTGTCCTTGTCAATGGAGGTAGAAAGCCCATCTTGCTCCCATGGAGTGGCTGGTGATTTCAAACTGCTGCTGGCCTTGCCAATCTCAGCCCGACCCTTCACCACGATACCACCGGGGCTCTTGGGAAATTCCAGTCAGCACTAATGGAGATTCCACCAAATATATTTAAGCTATATAAGAGCCAGCTACAAAATGTGAGGAGGAGATTAGTCCCAGATATTCAATGAATAATTGCTGAATAGCTGAATGAATCAAATTTTGAATTCACTTTAATAACTTTGACTTAATCATATGAAAGATAATAGAAAGGAGAAAAAAACCCTTCAATTGTAGTTTTCCTCTTTCATCTTTCTACTGAAGTAGCTAATGGGACGCTCCTGAAAATTGCTCTAGGAGACTGGAAAATGGATTTAACTTCTAGCCATTATGTAATATTAATAACATCATTATTTAAATTTCAAATAAGCATATACTTCAACCTTTTTAATCTATTATCTTTCAAATACCATCTTCAAAGTGTTCTTTAAGAGTCATTCTCCATACTTCACTTAATTTTAAAATGAAGCAATTTATTTCACTACTTATATGCAGATTTATGTTCTGTAATTTCAACCCTGGTAGTTTAGATAGAAGCCTAAAGTTACACATTCTTTGGACTATGTATCAGGAATTTCTGTAGTTATGTCTTAAGAGTTAATTAGTAGTACTATTTGCTGTTTAAAGGAGGACACATTATTATAGGTGTGTCAGGTGCTTTGGAAACATTATTTCGTTAAAGACAGCACTATAAAGCCTAATTATTCTTTACCCATTTTAGAGAGGGGCAACAAGAGAGTCAGAGTCATAAAATGGTTTAGCCAAGATCTTTTAGCAACCAAATTATATAGAAAGGTTCAGCTGTAAGTCTTTTGCTTAACAAAATACGTAGACTTCCTAAACCTGACTCTTCATTCAGATTTGACCTCTGTCCTTTCTACTTCATCTAAATGTTAACATGAATCCATCCATAGCTGGTGTTTTGTTCCATGCTACTTACTAATTCTAAGATTTTCGTTATTTGTCCTAGTATACAATGCTATCTTTATACTTTCATGTGTAATTGTTCAATTATCAGTGAAAAAAAGTTTTCACTCAAAGTGAAGTAAAATAGTCACAAAATAGATATTAACAGATGTTGGAAATCATGATGTTTGTCATTAACAGTAACATGCTTTCCAACATAATGGATTTAAACCAAGGAAAACCAAAAGTGAGCCACACTCCATGCCATCAAGTCGATTCTGTGGGCCTCCTGGTGACCCTGTCAGGCAGAGGAGAACTGCTCCTGTGGATTTCCCAAAGGTGCTCACAGGAGGAGAATCCTTATCTTTCTCCTGAAGAAAGTCTAACCCACGACACCATCAGGGCTCCTTTTGGGCCAAAGGAGAGATAGCTTTATCCTCACATGTTCGTGTTGTTAGTTGCCATCAAGTGGATTCTGACACAGAGCGAACCTTGTTGGCCAGTGGAACTGCTCCCCGGTGTTTTCAAGACTGACTCAAGAAGCAGGTCTCTTGGCGAGTCTTCAAGGCCCCCCTTTAAGACTGAGTCGGTTCAACCCACCAGCTTGTCAGTTAGCCATCTCGCCCTTAACGGGGCCACTCAGAAAACGCAGAGATTTACTTTTGCAGTTTTGCCAAAATTTAAGAATTGAGTATATTCATGATTTTTTGTGAAATTTCCTGCTTAAGAGAACAAGCTATATTTAAGGTAAAACGTTTTACTGATGGAGTGACGGGCAGAGATTTTATATTCGATAAACATCAATAACCACATTCTAAGTAAATGTGCCTTCCCAAGTCCATGCCCCAACCACCAAATAGGAGGGCTTGGGGTTCCAATCATTAAGATAGTTAATTCAAACCTGTTACACTTTATGATAAGGAACTTAACTACAATGAAAATTTATTGCAGCCAAAGAAAGCTTGTTCTCAATGTTCTTACACATTCTTTTTGTTTCGTGTGGACATTTTAGGTGTATCAATATATGCATGAAACGATAACTGTTAATGGCTGTCCTGAGTTCCGTGCCAGGGCCACAGCAAAGGTAAGGCTTGAGTCACTTTAAAAATATACTTGACCCCAGTGATCTAGTAATTGACTGTGCGCGTGTGTGTTTCAGGTATTCTCGTGTGTACACTGTAAGAGAATTTAGACATCAATGGCAGCCCAGAGTCTAGACCAGTACTACTTCCCAGGTAAAAATCCTAATGGAAAATTGAACGTTTCTGCTGCTTCTGTAGCTTAAGAAAGGAGAATGATTTCATTAAGCTCACTAAATGTCCATTTGGCACAAGCAAATCTACTGGTTCATTGTGCAAAATACTACATGGCTTTCTGACCCATTGCTCTGATACAAAAGAACTGTTCGCTCTTTGGTGCATGAAGATTTCTTTTCAGAGGTCCAAAGATTTGATTTAAGTTCGATATGAGCAGAATTCACCTGATAACCACTCATCTATGATTGTCCTTTGTATTCTGCTCAGCAGTGGGGAGCTTGCTGAAAGAAGGTGACATTAATCTAAAAGGACAGCCCACTGCCGTTTGTGGTAGTCAGCACATTTTTCTCTTTAAACACGGAAATCCAGAGTTGGTGAAGACCCTATTAACTGAAATATTACAGCAATAGGATGATGAAATTATCTGGAAAATAGACCATTAGGAAGCCATTTTAACCAAAAATCACTGATGTAGTTTGTGTTTTTTACAAACACAGAAATGTTATCATCGATATACAACTTACTTTTTAAAAGCTTTTATCTTTATAGTTCACTCTATGAAGAAAGAGCTAGTAACAATACACATAACTTTCCTTTTAATTCTTTTATGTGTTGTACCACCTCTTGCTTAGTCTCTCTCCTAAGTTTGCATTTTTATTCTGTATCCAAGCAGTAACACTGCACATTCAGAAGTGGATTTTTTGTTTTGTTTGGCTTTCAACCCAGGCAAGGGAAAAAGGGTTATTATTATCATTACACCATGCTTTGCTTGTACTGAAGTGGAACACACACAGAAAAAAATGAGCCCTACATGGTTTAATTAAGGGGGAAGTGAATTATGCAGCTTTTTGCCATTCTCGTTTCTTATTCATGTGGAACAGCAGGGCGGCGGCACAGCGTTGCAGTAGCACAGTACTTCCTGGTGGTTTCTGGGCTGTCTGCATTGCATCCATGTCAGCCATTCAAATCTGTGCACGATGACAGGTTGGCATGAGCACATGCATGTCGCTAAATGGGAGCCATTGTTTCCATGTCAGTCACTGTCTTTCACTAAATGCAGGCAGTAGCATCATGCTGAATTGATGTGATAATGCTGTGTGTGGAAAAGAATGGACAGGAATCAATATTGTCACCGTGTTGAGAAAACCGCTTTATTGGAGGCATCTAATCAACTGTGGTTAAGGAAGGTTAATGGGAAGTGGAAAGTAAGAAATAGGCAGAGAGTCTTCTGATAGAACGAACTTAAAGGCGATTTTATTTCCATTGGGGCATGGGGGCAGAGCAGGAACTAATGGTAAGTTATTCCCTTGATGCTATTTAAAGAAATTAATATATTAGTAAGAAATAAAAATGTAAGTCTGCATTAAATTATGTTTTCTATAAACTATATATAAAACCAATTTTAAAACGTTTACAGTATTTGATCTCAAACATGATTCATTTTGCATAGATCACTCTAGTAAGTTGAGACATTAAAATGTATAAACAAACTTATACCAGAGAAGACCTTTCACAATAATCCAGAATATTGCTTTCAATTAGTAATAATTTATATGAATCTATCATTTTAGTGTAGTCTCTCCCCCCACCCCCTTCTCTTTTAAGCATACTCATTATTGGGGGAAATAAAACAGCCACATGTTCTAGGCTGGTGTTCTGGCAATATCATATATACTTCCACAAGAAGATGAGAACATCCATACAAATGTCCCTCTGGTTATGCAATAAATACTTATTAATGGGCAAGTACCACGAAGTATCAGACACAACCCCAGCACTTAAAGTGTGCATAGATAAGACATGTGCAAATGATTACAGTACTAGGTAGTATGTGTGCCGAGGGCTAGTTGACCCTTCAGAAAGTCTTTCCGGAAGAGAAAATGTAACATAATGGGATCAGCTCTCTAAACGGCCAGGCAGGGCTGTACAAAAGGAAAGAATCACACAGGGCAGCAAAAGGAAAAGCAAAAGGCTTTTCTTCCTTTTGCTTCTTGTGTCCTTTCTTTCACAGAAGAAAGCTGTAACCCTATGAGGAGTTTTCTGACGGTATTTGGCTAGCCTTATTCCCAAATGGCCATCTTCTCTTTCAGGCAACAGTGGCAGCTTTTGCAGCGAGCGAAGGCCACTCCCACCCTCGGGTCGTGGAACTGCCAAAGACTGACGAAGGCCTTGGTTTCAACGTGATGGGAGGAAAGGAGCAGAATTCCCCCATTTATATCTCTCGCATCATTCCTGGAGGGGTGGCCGAAAGACACGGAGGCCTCAAAAGAGGAGACCAGCTGCTGTCAGTCAATGGAGTGGTATGTTCTTACTATAACCAGCGATTTTCTCTCCGGTTTCTTGCTTTCGTTCGTTCTTTCGTCCATGTTGATACTGTAGTCAACACTGAAATAATGGAGCTAGTCATCATTTTGTGTCCAGTTTGCTAGTCATTGATGGGCATAAAATCTGCAAAAGCAGTAATTTTATAGTGGGATGTCTCATCTTGTTTGGGATGTCTCATGTCATCTGGTTTGGGTATGATGAATACAGACTGTTTGAAAAACCATCTCAAGAAATTATTCCCACTAGTGGGCTCTCTTCCAAATAAGACTTCAATTGAATTAATGTGTATAACAACTTATTGCTTTTAAGACACTTTTAGTCTAACGTTTTTAGGAGCAAACGTACATATTTTTAAAAAAAGAAAGAAAGATACAACTCCTCATGCTACTAGCTTTTTAAATTTTAATTTAAGAGGGATAATAACTTTAATATGCACCAATATTACACATGGAAAGGTGAGCTGATATAAAGACAATTACTTAAGTCTGTAACTACAATGAAAAGATTGTATGCTGCATCTAAAAGAGTTGTGTCACATTATTCACCACATGTATGTTAGTTTCCAAATGAAATGAAGGTAAACTAAAATACATAGCATTTTTTATTTAAAATATGAATATACATATTTTTGATTACCATATATACGCAAGTATAAGCCGACCCAAATATCAGCCAAGGCACCTACATTAAAAATGTGCTGAAAAACTAGGCTTATACTAGAGTATATATGGTAATTTATATTCGTTGGATGACCTTCCCTCCACATGTAATAAAAATTTCTAAATAAATTGTTTCCTATAAGATAAATAATTTTCTGAAAACACAAAAGAAACAAAAAAAGTCAAATTTCAGAAAAATAAATATGAGTATCTCACCAGTTTGAAACCACCAGCCACTTCTCAATAGAAAGATAAAGGCTTTCTACTTCTGTAAACAGTTATGGTCCAATGTCCTTCTGCTACCTTAATACTAAACCTATAAATATAAGCACATAGATCTATCATGATCCCAATTCTACCTTGCAAGTCTGGCTAGAACAGAGGATGTACACTGGTATAGATAGGAACTGGGACCACAGGGAATCCAGGGTGGATGATCCCTTCAGGACCAGTGGTGTGAGTGGAGATAGTAGGAGGGTGGAGGGAGGGTGGGGTGGAAAGAGGGAACCGATTACAAGGAACTAGATGTGACCTCCTCCCTGGGGGACGGACAACAGAAAAGTGGGAGACGTCGGGCAGGGCAAGATATGACAAAATAATAGTTTATAAATTATCAAGGGTTCATGAGGGAGGGGGGAGGGGGGAGGGAGGGGAATAAATGAGCTGATGCCAGGGGCTTAGGTGGAGAGCAAATGTTTTGAGAATGATGAGGGCAATGAATGTACAAGTGTGTTTTACACAATTGATGTATGTATGCATTGTGATGAGTTGTATGAGCCCCTAATAAAATGATTAAAAAACAAAAAAACAGTTACAGTCTTGGAAACCCAGCAGGACAGTTCCACCATGTGCTGTCCAGTCAATCTCAGTCGAATTGAGTCAATGGCCGTAAGTTTACTAGTTATCAATTAATTTAGGATTTTTCTCTAAAATTTTGAGATTTTAATAAATAGCCCAGATTTGCATTATTTGTGACCATGTTGCTATTTGCTTACAGCACTGTATCTGATGGGAAATATATTTAGAATATGATATTTTATTGGTAGTAATGGATTAAAAATTTTCTGTTTTTTGCATTTTATTTCTAGTTTTAGCACAGCATTGGGGGCTCAGTGGGTTTTCAGTTGGACCGTAAAAACAAGGGGGAATTCTATTCTAATCTACAGTGTTATAATGAGTCAAAAGGAACTCAGTAGCCATGAAAAGGCATGCCTTGATGAAGGTGCTGATGGTATATTAGTAGTTTCCATGCTGTTTGTTGCCTTATGGACTTGGGTTTGATTCGGCCAATGCACCTCACACAGGCACCGCCTGTCAATGGAGGCTGGTGGGTGGCTGCCATGCCGAGCGGACAGCGTTGGAACGTACCAGCCAAGAAGACCAAGGAAGAAAGGCTTGATCATCTGCTTTTGAAAATAAGCTCATGAAAACTGTAAGGACCCAACAGTCGTGTCCACAAGGGATCGTGGGGACAGCACACAAGACAAGGGGTCTTCAGTTTCAGCTTGCAGTGAGTCAGAGGCCAACTCAACAGCTATTAACAGCCACGAGGGCTTGATAGCATCTTGAACTTCAACTCTGCCCTGCCCTCTGATATGTATCAGACTCACCAATCCAAGAACAGTTCATCTTATTCCACATCCCACTTCCAAAATTACTTGTTTTCTTCTGGTGATAATGCTTTAAGATGAGTTTTTTGTTGTTGACATTTATAGACTTGAATTTCATAATAGAGGTCTCTAGAGCTCAGTCGTGTCTCTATGTCACAGAGTAGTCTGTACCTCAGTGTGTGAATTTATAGTTTCTCTGAATATATGGATAGGTAAAAAGAAAGTGTGGATGTAAAAGTAGTATGAAATGTACCCAAATGGAAAACCAAAATGGCAATCAGTAGATATGAAATCCGTTTCATAGGTGGTAGATTTTTAATTGTCTTTCACGGATGCTCAAGGGAGCTAAGGAACCTAGATAAGAGATACGCAGGGCACACAACTGTGGACATTTAGCAGCCATTCACCCATTGCTTGCAATTACCTTGAAAGGTGCCTCATAAGCCACAACGGAGTTAGGAATGGTGGCATCAGACAGAGCGGGCTTTAATACCCATCAGGCTGTGGGTTAATGTCCTCCAAACACTACGTTCTTGTGTGCAAAAGGGAATACTAATGAGAAGGTCATTTGAGGCAGATCAGGCAGTATTTCAGAGCCAGGAATTTGTGGTATCAGGCAACCAGAAATACTCTAAACTGCCAGGTAGATACAGCGCCATCGCCACCAATACTGTGATGAAAAATGGTAGGCTTCCCTAAGACGTTTCTCCCCTGTACAAACACAGAAGGGGACTGCCTCCAAACAATCCTAATACTCCACATACATTCAAAACCTTGGCATGTACCACCTCCCTTCCATTAGAACACGTGTCATGTTACTTAAGGGGCCACAAAAGTCCATTTCCGACAAGTGTGCTTATTAGCATCGGTTGTGGATGGGGAGGGAATCTTGCACATGTTTCTTATGCTGGTCCCCTCACGACTGTGGCTTTGCTGATATACTATGGCCCTCAGGGGTCTGACTCACTGCCAACGCCTTGAAGTGGTTAAAAACTCCACAACTGGAGCTTAAAATATGAACACATTCTTAGCATCAAACTCTGTAGTAGAAAGTCTACATTTTAAAGTGTTTTCAAAGTAAATTGTAGACTTACAATAATGCCTGATGTTTATCAGTTGCTTGTCAGAAGGAAGTTTTCCTTCTGTAAATAAGGGTACCTCAGGAAGGTGTGAAGAGTAGCTAAAGCCAAGGTGGCTAGAGCCCTGGACTTGCACCACTGAATCCGAGACTTTTCCAGTATAAAACATTTTAGGCGGGTGGCAGTATTTATTGAAAAGCAAAAACAATATCTATAGTGGAAGAGCAAAATAACGAGTTGATGGGGAAAAGGGGTCAAATGGTTTCTTCTTTGAAATTAAGTACCATTTGGGGGAAATGAATATGGAAGCTATTCAGAACATGACAGTATAAATTGAGAACACATTTTGGAAGGAAGTACTGTGAAGGGCTGAGGCTGACCTTAACTAAAGCAAGGTAAACACTCTGGCAGGAAATGGCCAACTGTTGTCCCGACCCGCTGGACCGTCAACGCAGACCCTGGAGGAGGGAGTGGGAATTGAGGGGAACAAGAGACACGAGAAATGGAGACAAGACAGTATTCTGATCAAGTCTCTCTTTATTGAGTGAAAGGTTACAGCCTATATTGGCCAGGGGAAGGGAAACACCCGTCGCACATGTAACTTAGGCCACTTTGGTAATAGACCAATCAAGGAGTCTGGGGGAGCGCGCCCTCAGTAAAGGTTTACAGTCTTCAACCAGGTACACGAAGTGACATCATTTTACGCAAATCAGGTGCAGGCACTAGATGTGTAAATAGGGTGAAGACAATCTCCTACCCAATCAAGGGGAAGCAGGATATAGGTGCTCATCTCAAGAATGTCACACTATGTATGGAATCCCCTTCATCTGTTTCTAGGCAGACTTGAAGGTTAAACTCAGCCCGTCCCAAGGACAGGCTATTCAGAGGGGAGATAACATAATCACAAAACTATGTCATGTAGGCGGGAATGGAAAAGTACTGCAAGCTCTGACAAAATATAGTGAAGATTGAGTGGAATGGCCCCGGACAAACTGTCATACTTATAAGTATGAATAAGTATTCTGTGGATCGTCCAGGTTCTGAAAAGAGGTCTTCGTTAGGTTTGTTGTTCGTTTTATCAACCCTGCTGATTGCTACAATTAATGTGCCATGGTGTCTTATAAAAATTGAACATGTTAACCCCAAACTGTTAGTGCAGATATTAGGTAATAAAGAGTAATAGTTACACTTTTAAAAGAAGAAGAAACTATAGCAATTGAGCAAGTGACTCTTCTCTGAGCTTCTTAGAAGTCAAAATAGAAGGAACTAGCACACCAGTACCATTCTCACTGGCAGAAAAAGGGTTTTCTGTCCCTGGCTTCAAGAGGAATTTCTCACGGGATTTTTGCAAATGCGACATTGCAATTTCATAGAAAATAAAGAGACCTTTGTGTATAGCTACTTCTTATGCCAACTCCCAGTGAAAACTTAGAACTTAATGGTCAATTAAACTTTTTAACATTACTACAAAGTCGAAGCATTACCATTGAAATTTGTTTTCTAATGATCGGCTTTTCACCATTTTCTGCTCGTTTGTCATCAGTAATTTTGAGAAAGGACTAAAGGACTCTTTATAAATGTCAGAGTCTATGTGGATCTAGCAGAATATATTTCATGATGAGTCTGA